TCGGATGCATACTATGTTAAATTTAATAATATTCTTTGATTAGATTATTTTATTGCAACATTTTGCCATTGCCAGTCATTTCCCATACACATTTATGTTAATAAAACCTGCAGTTTTGAATCTCTCTCTCTCTCTCTCCCCCTCCCTGTGTGTATTTTTGAAGACTGCCTGTTCTTCTACAGCTGTTAGATCTGAAATGGACAGATTAATAACTAACCATCACATTGGACTAGGTTTTCTTGTACGTTGCACCAGTAACCCTTTGCTATAATGAGGACACAAAGAGCCTCACATCAAGGCTGCGCCTCTTCTTCATAACTCAAAAGCGTCACAGTGGCAATCGCCTCTAGTGCTATTTGTCTTTAGTGCAGTTGTGACACTTCGGCATGATCCATAATTTGGCAGCTATTTACCGTGACATTTCCCTTCAGTGCAGCCATAACATTCAGCGAAACCATTATTTGGTTCCATTTACCATATAAATTGTATTGTTGTGCATGCATGCTAGCAGCTATATTAGGCACCTGGAAATGAGTAAATCTTGTAAAATAGATACTAGCAGCTATTCAGCAGTGGAGTTCCTTTGTAGCTTAGACTGAAGAAAGGCAAACAAACAAACAACATTTCTGTATACTGCTGCAAACTTTTCCCTGAGCAGTTGCAATTATCTGTATTTGCACAGCATGCAATTATACCCAGCAACTAGCTTCTTCTCTTAAAAAAAATAACATTTTACTGTTATGCAAAATACAATTTAATTTTAAAAGGTATTAAAATGTTTTAGCATTACAGTTCAATAGACCTTTATCTCTTAGAACATTCATAAGACTGGCTAGTGAATAATTTGCTGTGTAATAGAAGGGGATCTGAAATATATGTTTTTTAAAATGTCAGGTGTTGAGCTTTCTCAATGCCTTTTTTCACCAAGAGGCCTATGTTGACTTACATTTCAAAAAACTCAGCTGTTGCTGTTTGTAAACACTTCTTTTTTATCCAGTTTTCCTCACAACCAGTATATTCAGGTTTAACAAATATATCAAAAAGTTCTAGAAAGATAATTACAGAAAGAAAACCTATGTATGTCTATTCAACAGCAAGTTCCATCTAATTTACTCTTAGGTTGCAGCTGATCACCATTTAAACTGTAATTTTCTATATAGTTCATGCAGTGTACATGTTACTATTTGCATTCTTTAATGATTCGTCATATAAACAGATTTTGGAAAATCTTTCTGGAAAGTATTTAAAACTAGAATCCAAAGTGTGGGCTTTCCTGGACCATAGATTGAAATGCAGCCACTTGTGCTCATTTCTTCCTTAAAGACTAAATATTATGGAAATAGCTGCAGATGAAAAGGAATACCATAATTTCTTCACCAGCTTTCTACACAATCTTTGGGTGATCTGGATTTCCTATGGCTGCTAGGTGCTGTCTAGAGGGCCATAGGAGAAACAGGAATCCCAGCTTCAGCTTTGGAAATGAGCTTTGGTCTTTCCATGCTGGCTGTGGCTCTGGGATCAGAGGACTGACCTCAGAACTGGTGTCTGAGGGTAGCTCCTGGGCTGCAGAGAGGGGAGAAGTGAGGCTCTGCTCACATACAACCTACCCCAGCAGCTCAACATGTCTTCCTTGTGAGCTGACAGAAGACTGACATGGTTCAGAGGGTTATGGGCAGCTACACAGGATTGTGTGTGCATGATTGTTAATTTCTTGCTGTGAACTGACAGTATTTCTTGCCCTGGTAAACTATGATTAATATATCCTCACTTAATATGTCAATACTTTTGTATCATTGAAATTCTCCTCAGAATTTGCGTAGGTTACAATAAATATTTTAAGTAAAAGGGTGATGAGGGGTGTGAGTGTATAAATAATCAAATCTGGCATAACAGAATACACATTTGCATCTTTAAGAGATACCTGGACAGGGTGCTCCTTTTCACAATGTAAAAGAAACATTATGTTTACCTTTTAAGCATCCTAACGGTTCCACCCTTACCACACCTAGGCTCAAAATTGGCCATACAAAGGTTAAGAAATCAATTTAGAATAACATAGAAATAGAATATTGCAGAGCAACAACAGCCAGAATAGATGTGCAACAATCCTTTGAATTACTAAACTAGGAAACTAGTCTTTCAGATCTAAAGATAATAAAATGTAGGTGTAATAAATACAAGTTCTGGATATGCAGTCTATACCTGTATCAGTGTCACACTGATTTCCATGTAGCTTATGTTTGTTTAACTTTCTCTGGACTGTATATAATATCAGGTCCAATTTACACTTCGTGGCAAGTGTACTCGCTGCATACAGGGCAATAAATACTGTAAAGTGTGAAGTGAGCATAGGCGTTGTATACATGCAGTGCTCTTGCACAAAGGCGCCTCAGTGCATAAGGACTTCCAAGCCAGTCCTTGCCTATAAGCATGGATCTGTGAGTCATTCATTACAGAATTTACCACACCGAACACTGGTTTATATATTCAGTATTGCATTTGCTGCGAAACAGTTAAATCTCAACATCAGATCTTTAAAAGTACTGTATATTCAGAGAACATGTTGGAAGTGTCTCTGCTGCTTTCATTCATTTGGTATTAACTGTTATGGCCAGTTCCTTAGTAATTGTTTTCGCACAGGTAAAAGAAGACCAAGTGAAATCCTACAGAATATTTCTACAAAGATTATGTAGAATTTCCCTCACATTCTCTCTCTTTCTTTCTAGAGAGAGAGAGAGAGAGAGGGAGAGAGCGAGCGCGCACGGGTGGGTGATAGCAAAGATTAGCTAAGCGCGCACGAGTGGGTGATAGCTAAGATTTAGCCACGCATCTAGGTATATGTTGTTCTGCCCTATTGAAATTGATAAGATTTACCAGTACAGAACCAGGAAGGAATCCGCCCTAAAGCTATAATCCCACACATAGTTACTTTGAAATAGACTTAATGGATATCAATAGGAAGTATTTCTAAATGAAGAGTTTTTAATGACTGGGCTGTAAATATTTTCATGTTTAGAAATAGTTCCTAAAAATGACAGGAATCGTTTGTGAGCTTTAGGTGTTAAGAACTTACTCCGGCAACCTAACTAAAAATTATGGCCTTCACTCACATCTCTGCATGCTGAAGAAGAGATATAATGATGGCTTCTTATACCTAACCTAAATTGTCTTCTCGACACCAGTGCAATGCTGAGAAACATATAGCAGTTTCCACTTTATTTTTATCACCAACGTCAAATGAATACTTTAACATAACAATGGTGTTTCCATAGGATAATCAACTGACATCCAAAATACTCCTTGTATTCCACCTACCAAGTGAAGTTTCCACCAGTCCAGTCCAAAATCTAGTTAAATGTATATATGTGGATGAGAGCCACTTAAGTCCCATTGAACTGAGTGGTGCTCAACTGGTTTAAATCCTACCACTTGATTGTGCTTTAAGCTGAAAGATAGCAGGAACAAAAGAACTATGCTTGTCTACCATAAGAGGAACCCTACTAAAAGGGAAATCCACTCAGTTTAACATTAGAGTATCCCTTAAGGATAATAACAATGACAAAATAGCTGAACATGCAAATAGTTGAGCATGTTTTTTAAAAAGCACCTATCATCTTTTTATACCATATCTGTAGCTTCTGAGAAAGATTTGTTTGAAAACAGTACATAGACATATGCATCTTCAAAAGAAGCATACTATTCAGTGATTTAAATTAATACTACCACCCCCAAAGCCCAAATAGGCAATATGAAACCAACTAAGAAAGGTGGCTAATGAAAGCTATATTTGCTATTGGAGTCGTTTAAATAGCATGACAAATGCAGGCTATTAACAGTGCACTCTCATACATTCTTCAGAAAAGAGCTTATTCCCAGATAACCGGGAAGACTGCAGCCTAAGCCGGCCTTCCTATATGCACTTACCCAGGAGTAAACCCCATTGAACAGAAAGGGATTAACTTTTCCATAGAAATGTATAGGACTGTAATCCCTGTTGATAAAAAACCACAATGAACATTTTTAAAGACAATTGAACCATAATACAAAATATTATCTAAACTTTTACATTATACTAAACATGTATAGTTGCAAAATATAAACTCTTATAAAGACTATATATTATTGCATAATCCAACAGAGTTTATTCTGGTGCCATTCTAATTAACTAATCCGGTCACTCCATTTCCTTGAAAGGTAGAAGCAACACAGAACTCTTTGTGTGCATTATTAGTTGCAAGTTTCCTAATTTACTTTATGTAAAACAGAATATAGCATTATATCAAGGTTAGTCCACCGGCAGTTTCATGTACGAGTTCTGGGAAATAGGAGGCAGGGAGTTCAATGGGACTTACTCCTGGGTAAGTGCTTACAGAATTACAGGCTTGCTGGGTGAATATAGCCCAGATAGATTTGATTAAGAGGTTTAAAATGACATTATAAGATGACCATATCAAAATATAATTAAAAACTTGAAATAAAGTTGGAAAAGTTAATTAACATGTATCCAGAAAGATATATGCCTTAATTAAACTAGAAATTTGCCATTCAGTATATGAATTATGAAGATGCAATCATCACAAAAATAAAAGTCATATTTTTAAAATATATTGGACACAACACATAAGACTATTGTCCTGTGCAAGAGTCACTAAAAATATCTCTTATGTGACACTCATTGCTCCTTGTGGATTGTGCCAATCCTTCATGATATGAGGAATCTATATTGTTTCACTTTGGATACTAACACTGCAATCCCATACATGTTTACTTAGAAGTAAGCCTCTTGGTGAGCCAGACAATTTACTTCCACGTAAATGTGTATAGTATTGCAGCTTCATATGCTTTCAGTTATTCAACTCTAGAGAAAAGATGTAAGATCAGTTTTTATAGCAGGGAGGGGTTGTTTTGTTTTTTAACTTGGTCAAGATTATATTCAGATGCAAGCACAAATTCATTCACAATTTCCAGGCAAAAATGCAGCAGAATGGTTAGACGCAACACAAATGACAAACTGTTTTTATCAATACAAAACCTCTTACAAATCACAATTTTATTAACACATAGACGCTATTTTTAATATGCTACTCGCTGCCAACTTTAAAGAAATTAAACCATTTTTGTTATTGTGAAGCATAAAGTATTCATTTTCCCTCTTTTGATTTATATCATTGTTCTGTTTTTACAGCTTACTGTTGACAGAGTGAGGTAATTCAACTACAATTTTTCCAATGTTTTTTCCCATGTACATATAATCTATAGCACGGAATACCGACTCTAAGCCAGTGAACTTGCCCTCTGGGGACATGTCTCCAAGGTCCACCTCACAAACCAGATCTCTGTTTTCATACATTTCAACCAAGTGTCTCATAGCTATTTGGTATTGGGAAAGGTAATGGTTTAGGAAGAAACCCCGGATGCTGGCAGATTTCCTTAGCAGCTTTGCTGGCAGCATGTCTACATGACCAGGCTGAAGGCCAGTACGAGTCTGGTAGCCAGAAATAAACCCAATAATTATCAGATGCCCTTTGATAGCCAGGGCATTGACAGCCAAGTCAAACATCTTTCCACCAACAGATTCATACACTACATCCACACCTTTGGGGTAGTCCTTCATAAGGACGGCAGCAATATTTTCAGTTTTATAGTTGATAGGGTGGTCACAGCCAATAGATTTTAAAAAGCCAGATTTTTCATCACTGGAGCAAGTTCCTATCACGTGGCATTTTGCCTTCTTTGCAAGTTGCACAGCAAACTGGCCAGTTCCTCCAGCTGCTGCTGTCACCAGAACTGTCTTCCCTTCAGACAATTCGCCAAGCTCCTTCAGACTGATATATGCGGTAGCTCCACTTACCAGCAGTGCCAGAAACTCAGGCTTCACTGAAGGGACTGGGATGGCTTCTTTAGCAGGCACAACTGTATATTCAGCAAAAGCACCAGGCCTCAGATAGGCCACTGGTTGGCCCACTGTGTACCTAGAACTGGCACTTAGGCCCAAGGCTACCACTTCACCGATTCCTTCAAAACCTACATCAAATGGAGGCTTAACTGAAGTATCATACCGTCCAGCAGAGTAGTTAATATCAGATGCATTGATGCCGACAAATCTAAAAGAAAACAAACGTGTATTAAGATCTCTTCTCTGACAAGGCTTTTGTCATAAGAACAACCTTACACAAGATAAGAGATTTCAATGATGCATATTCAAATAATCTCAAGAGTTGAAAAAGTCATATGCAAAATAAAAAATAAAAGGTTGTTTGAATCAGATGTCAGTTTTACTAATACAAAATTTGACACGTTTCTTAAAAATTAAAATGTAAGGCATTTTCTCTTGTCTGCTGAATAAAAACAAGAACAAAAGAAATTATTTTGATATGCTACAGAGTAATACACTTTTTTCCAGAAAGAAATGGTAACATCACAGAATATGAACAAAGCAGTAAATATGTTGACTCTGGCAACAAATTTACATTTCGGATTATAACAACACTTTTAGTGACTAATGATAACATGAAGTTTCAGTGTCCTCTCCAAGGTCAGTGGCCATAAATGTTACTGCAGGCAACTTTAAAGAAAATGGATGGAGTGACTATAACAAATCTGCCTTTTGATGCAACTAATTTGCACATTATTAAAATATTCTGTTGTATACAAATGACTCACAACACCTTAAAACAACCTTGAAAAGAAGGACAGGAGTTATGTAACAATACTTTTGAGCACTGCTGTCCTCTAACAGGTAAAAATGAAGGTACATTTTAAAAAGCCACTCACCATGTAAAGATAGATAAAGAGGTAGCCTATGAAATTCAAGTTATTCAAGCAGAGAGAAAAAGGAAGCATTTACGTGTAGTTTGTCCTACTGGAACTTGAAAGCAAAAAAATACAGAAGGTTGATTTTCTCAGAAAAAAAGACTATTTCTATTCTACATCCTAAAATAAACACATTGTGGTATTTCAATTATGGAAGTGTGAAAACCTGTGTAAAATTGATTTAATGCCACAACTAGAAGGCTGTTTGTGTAGTTGCAGTTATTCCAAATAGCTTCTGCACAGAGAAATGGCAAAACTTAAGAAGCCCATTGGTCATTTTTAATACTAAAGAAATCCTTTTTCATTAGTAAAATGTGCTCACATATGTACAGTATGTATAGAGATGCAGAAATACAGGAATAGCCATACTCAGAGAAAGAGACATGACTTCTGTTGTAATTCTTCATATAATCCAGTCTGTATCTGTTGCAAAGACTGCCATCCTATTGAGAGCTCTTAAGGAAATAGAAAACATTCAGCTTTAATTTATATAATGCCCACGACCCATTCTGGAGCAGAAAAAGGATGGGAAGGGGGAGAGGGATGGCAAATAGCAGATTCCAAGGCGGGGGGGGGGTGATGTTTCCTTGAAGATGTGTGAAAGAGTCGAGGCAGGATACTGGAGAAACCCTGGCTTGGCTTGCCTTGGCTTTGCATTGCGTACAACGTGTGACTTCTTGCAGGTACCCAGAGAGGCAGCTGGGTGAGAACTCGGACTCACACATCCATCTGCACTGCTTTTCCATCTCACCCATGCACAGCAGAGTCGCACACTGGATGAGAAGCCCCGCCAACTCGACCCCCACCCATTTCACCCCAAGTGACACTGCCAGAGAATGGAGGCCCTTGTCTGAAATTTCTGCCAGGGAGCCACTTCCCTCCCAGGATTTTAATGGCATCCGCCCCCTGCCCTGCCCTGCACGCCCCAGGCCCTGCGCCCAACTGCACGCCCAAGTCCGGTCCGCAAGCCTGGACTGAAGTGCGTAAACTGAAGATCAGGCTGGACCTGCTTTAAGCTGGGACCTGGGCTTCGCCTGGAAAGCAGCCTCCCTGCAGTCAACGGGGGCTTGCACGGTCAAAGCACGCTGATTTAGGATGGGGCTACGACAAGCCTAAATCAGCCGTGAAACCCACCGCTTCGGCTTAAGGCGTTTATGGAGCGGCATATAGCGCTGAAGCCAATCTTCCTGCCCCTTCCACAAGTCCTACTTCTTCTTCTGGCTTAACGGTATTCAAAGCATCAATAGCCAGGGCGGGCAGAGTGAAAATCAACATGGAGGGTTGGAGCGAGGGATGGGTGGATGAGACTTGGGAAGTTGAAGCGTGTTTTACTGCAGCCAGCCAAACCGGCTGGAAAATTCGCCCACGCCATGCTAACGGTAACAGGTGAAAACACCCTTTTCATAGCTACTCTTCCCTGTCCCCAACTGCATTGGAATTTAATCCCCCTCTTTGTGTGTCTGGGAGGGGGAGCAGCAGGGACAGGAGAGAATCGGCTCTCGTATTGCCAGTGTGGCACCCAAATGAGAGCCTTCGAAGAGGGATCGTGCCAGTGTTGGCACCAGTGGGTGCCAGAGCTTGGGCTGGCTGGTGCCGAGGTCGGCCGAGGGAACTAGGAGAGGGCGGCAGGCCACCCGGCAACTCCTTCCCAGGCACCTCAGCTCCCCTTTGCCTTCGCCCTGTCTGCCACTTCCAGTTAGCATCCCTGCCCTGCGAGGCGAGGTCCCCTGTGCGCTCTCAGATGCCTCGCTCCAGCCCTGCCTGCCTCCCTTCAGTGGTTCAGTTGGGAAGCGAGCGGACAAAGTCTGCAGCCCGCTCAAGGTATGAAAAGAGCGTTGCTTTGAAAAGCAGGGCTATCCAAGCCTCAGCAAATGCACCAGGAGACAGCAGTAAATTTTAACACACCCGGGCGCGCGCAAAATTAAAACCGAAGGGGACTGTTTTTAGAAATCTAGCCTTCCACTCCCGCAGTCGACCCTGTGCAAATTCGCCTTTCTGAAGGAAGGGAAGCATGATTATTAATCAATATAATCTCCAAAGTCTGCTACAGCCTCCTCCCCCGCAGTACTCTATTAAAATCCACTCTAATGCAGTTTTGGAATTTTAAAAATAAAATCCCTTTTCCATTGAAGTGATCATAAAGATCATGGAAAGAGTTGCTGTTATATTGTGGTCTTTTTTTAACCAAACATGAGATATTTTCAGAGTCAAATGCATCCACAGTTTGGCCCTCCTTCTCACATTCACGCGGGGGAGGGCACGCACGCACGCACGCAGATTGTTCGGCAGCGTGTGCACCCTGCTTCAATCCTGTGCACACTTAGCTGGGAGTAAATCCCAGTGAAGTCCCAGTGGAGCTTGCTTCTGAGTAGACACAGAGTTTCACTGTTGGTCTCACTAAGTTCAGCTGTGCTTATTCCTAATTCAGAGTAGACAGACTCGCAGTCAAGGTGCTGGTGGATTGAAAAGTAAGATGCAAGTTCAAGATCAGTTTGCAAACTTGTGTCAGAGAGTTCGCTCTCCGCGGCCATTGTTCTCTGTAAGTTAACTACGTGACCTTCATTATGCGCCCTTCCTTCCCCTCCTCCAATTTTGTGGTTTGTATTTAACTAGGAAGCGCTCAAACTTTTAAGACGTTCCAAAATGCGAGGTGCTGGACAAAAAGAACTGGACCCAGGCTGATTTTTCCTCAAATATTTGCGGAGTCTCACCCGCTTTATTTATACTACCAGATAAGACTTGGGGGTTAGATGTCTGTTTATTTTAGTAAAAAGCAACTTATAGTACTCACGAGACCGAAACGCAGGACAAGAACCTTGAACCAACAGACAAAACAAAGTAGACAAAACCAGGAGCACGCAAAGAAAAAAAATCACTTCCCAGTCCAAAGAATCAGAGGATGATAATCGCCTAGAACTTTTCGCAATTTACGTTCTTGCAGTCTTCAAGCCAAAGATCAAACTCTCCCCTTTCCCATTTTTCCTCCCCAGTGTTAATACCTACCTTTCTTTCTTTCTTTCTTTCTTTCTTTCTTTCTTTCTTTTTCTTTCTTTCAATAGAAAACAGACACCACTATGTGATCTGCCAGATTTCTTTCTTAAAGAACCACACACACTCACACTGACACTCCTCCTGGGTCACGTATTTGCTAATAAACCTAGAAACGCACATTTCTGGGTGAAGCAGCGATCGGGTAAAAATACACCTAAGAACCACAAAAAGCTTTGCTAAGAAATGATATTTTATTCCTGGTCCTAGCTTCTCTTCTACCGTACAATCATTTCCTACAAGAAGCGAAAAAGTTTATTGTTTGCAATCGATTTCCAGATTTAAATAATTTCTCCTTCAATAAAGGCCGAGCTGGATTTAGCTTTTTGTAATAAGAATGTACCGGACTAAAGGCTATGGAATTGTTTTTCAGATGCGGGGGAGGGGAATGCCAGCTAAACAGTCCCTTGTTCTAAAAGAGAAGAAAAAGAAGTTACACTCAGACAAACTTAAATATCCCAAGTCATTGTGTGTGTGTGGTTAGAGCCAGGATTAGGGAGGTGTGTGTGTTTTACTTGGGTAAATAGGGAGTGTTCTGCATAGTGCAATTGGCTCTAGTCACTGGAGTGGGGGCTCCACATGAGCATATTCTCAAAGCACTGCAGCCCATCTTCCTTCCTTCCTTCCCCCATATGTTTCCGTCTAATACGGGCTAAATAAATCCAGGTGACTACGCTTCTTGCTCTGTGAAGGTGGAAAGGCGCTTTTCCAGTGTACAAGAACTGGGGGAGGGCAGATCCAATCTCGAGGAAGCTTTCAGAAGGTAAAAGCAGGCGTGAGAGAGGTTTATTCTTAACACAGTTATTTTGCACTAATGAGATCTTTCTTGCCTGTGCGAGACACTCCAGCAACTAAAGCGAGCATCACACGCAAATCCACATGACACAGAAGTTGCGAACTCCAATCCTGAGATTTCTCACGCGCATCCTCGCAAACTCGAACGTGCTAAAAACCGAGTGACGATCCTTGAGCTCGCTAGCGCTCTGTCTCTCGCTCTCTCTCTCTCTCTCTCGCTCTCTCTCTCTCTTGTCGTCTGATTGCCCGAGTGCGAGCTGACAGCCCCCCTTTCCTCCCATTTCGAAGTATGCACAAGCACGTCCTCCCGAGTCCCGAGAGAGCCCACCCAGTATCAAGGGCAGGGTGGGAAAGAGTTACATTGAAAAACAAAATAAATTGCATGCATAAATTTTCAAATTTCATAGGGGGAGAGAGAGAGAGAGGAGGGAGAAAGTGTTGGGGGAGGGGATTCAAGAACAAGGACGTAACAACCTCTCGATACTCAAAGAGGCAGCAAAGAAACCAGGCTACATTTTCTTGTAGCATTTTAAGCTAGCCGATCCCTCCTCCTAGCTTTCCAGGAAAAGAATTTCACTGCAGGCTGGGCGGGATATAATTTTCAAGTTTTTTTTTTTTTTTAAATTAAGGCTTCAGAAATACCGCTCTCCAAACGACGATCTTCTGATGACAGCAGCAATTCCATTCTTTGACATCACAGAGGACAGATCTCTTTGTAATGCGGGTGTCGTGCATTAGACAAAACACGCACCCACTGCTAGGATTCAGATACAGGTATGGTATACCTGGCTGTCTTCCGTACTAAGGAGTGTCTCGGCGCGCCTGCCCGCGCAATCCACAAATCAGTTAATCCTGTATATTTTGTACTTAATCCAATTTAGTCGGTTTCAGTGGAGCTAAAGTTACTGAAAGTCCATTGATGCTGGATTACCGCCAAGTAATCAGCTACAAAGTTTTGAATTTTTTTTTTAAAGAATCTTAAGGTCAATAAAGTCTACCAGAGGAACTCCTTCCCACTCCATCTACACAAACACGGAACACAGAACTGACGATCACACCGTTTCAAAACGTCAACTTCTCCCTGGAGTTTTAACCTTTCGAGTTTTAAAAGCCCCAGTTTGATTTTAATCATCTGGGGGTTTCATGATGAGTACTTTCCCTCCGCACAAAACAAAACACAAGCTGATTTGGAGAAGATTACATATTGTCCTAAAATGGAGAAGAAATTTTAAAAAGAACTTTCGGTGTAGTTAGAGCTCACGGAAACAAGCGCACAGCCCTCGTTAGCTAGCTCACAGTTTGCAGCATATTCTGTTAAGCAAAACGTCACGTCTTCACTCCAGGCTTGACTTGGCCACTTGGCAAAACGAGCCTGACCATTCCCACACCACATACAAGGGCGTCCAACAATGGCCATAAACTTTTTAGGGCGACAAGCCTACACAGGCTTTGCTTAGAAGTGTCACTGCAATGGATGGGGCTTACTTCCGCAGAAACGCGCCTGGATCGGGCAGCGGTGTGCCAGCCTTCCCTCCCCGCGTCTCTGCTTTTCGCTTTGCTTTTGTCGTGCAAGGAAGAAGAGGGTCGTGGTGGAGTTAAAACCCTGGAGAGTGATGGGGGAAGGTGGGTGGCAGTCACATACCATTTGAGGTCCTGTGCTTTCCTGTTGATTCACAGCACGCTTAAGGTTAGTGACGTGGATGACTGGTGAGGGGGGAACAGGCAGAGTTGTATACATAACTTGCTCCAAACAATGTCTGGAGCGTGTTACATGCGGGCACACGAATCGAGATCACCGGCTATAAATAACCGAGATACACCGTCCCAGTTGCTCCGCATTAACCACACATGGAGATCTACACAGATCAGTCAATTTTATTGTGTAACAAAAACAGCCACCGCAGATCTTAGAGCCATAAAGTACGAACAGGGGCGCTCGCGCACGCACACGCAGTCGGCTGCAGGTACATGTCACAAAAAGAGACAGGCAGAAACCTGGGAGGGGCTTGGAAACCATTTCCTGGTTGTTGAAGTCCCTTCCTGACGCGTCAGGTCACCCACAACTTTCAGAAGTCTCTTCCTGACTCTTCTTTTCACCTTTCCCAGACTGTTGTTTTTTCGGGGGGGAGGGTGGCGATGGGGGTGGGAAAACACGTCGCTTGCGCCGCCCCTCCATTTATTTCACTGCATAAATTACAGTTTCTATCCCGTACCAAATGGACACGTCCTCCTACTCGTCCGGAGGGATTTTGTGTGTGTGCGTGAGAGAGAGCGCGCGCACGAGAGCGCGCGGGGTGATGGCGGAAGGCATTCACAACAATAAAAATTAAACCCAACAGTCGCCAGATGGCAGCTGGTACAACTTGAAGGGATCACAGAGAGTGAATGAGGGTGTGCATGGCTGGGAGAGGAGTCCAAAGGAGATGTGGGGAGCGGAAAGGGGGGGGGCGAGGATGAGAAGTAGCGGGTCAGGAAACGGGATCGCGTACAACCACCCTCTCCCACTCACGGACAATGGGAAAGATGCAGAGAAGAGATGGAGGTAGGAGGAGGAAAATGAGAAAAACAGAGAGGAAGTGTGTGTGTGTGTGTGAGTGAGTGTGCGTGCGAGGGTATGTGTGTGTCCTCACCTGTTCCTAACAAGCAGATCGCCGTCTCCCGGGAGTGGCACAGGCACATCGTGGCGTAGGCTCACAGCTTCTCGGAAGTTTGGGCTCAGCTTAGTCACCACCAGCTTCTTCATGGAGGTGGGGATGGCAGAGCCTTGGAAATCCAGAAAGTGGCGGGAGTAGGACATGTCCACGATGGGCCGGAGCGCAGCAGCACCACCACCCAAGCCAGACCGGGCGGGACTCGGCAAAGGATCCCGCTGCAGCTGGAGCTGGGGCTGCCGCCGCGCCAGCCGCCAGCCCCGCTGAGCCCAAGCCCTCAGCAACGCGCTGCTCTGGGCGATCAAAGTCATCGCTAATCTCGCATCTCGCCCTCTCCTTACCGCCCTTCCTGGGCTTCCTGCGCAACCCCGGAGCTCTCCAGCCTTGGAGGAGTCTTCCACAGGCACGCAAGCCTCAAACAGAGGTTGCAAGAGACAGGCACTGTCCGCACTTTGCGATTTGTGTATGTAAATAAAGTCTAATGTAGCAAGCTGCACCCTGTCTGAGTCCTCCCTTTTCCTGCCCCTCCACAACACGGAACATCGGATCAGCGGCAGCAGTCTCCACAGCAAAAATCCCCTGCAGCTATTATTGTGACACCGTCACTAGAATATATATATATTCTATATATGGAGGAGGGGGGAAAGGGGCAAAATTCTTCCCTTTTAAGCCCAGCCTGCCGTGCCAAGTTGCTGGTGCCGCCGCGGAACAAAAACTGCGCGCGTTTTGTGTAGGCTGTAACAAACCCGGACCCACATAGGGATACCAGCGTTAGTACCAAGGCATGTAGGGATTACTTTCACTCAGTCACGAAAATATCTCTTGGAAAATAATATACAGATCGATAGATCTCATGCTATTTGATTTGTGTGTGCAGGGGAGTGCTCTGCATGCAAAGAATGTAATTGCATATTAAAACGCGCCCGATCTAGCAGCCCCGCCCGTTCATTTCATTTAGAAAAAGACGGAGGAGATCTTTGTTAAATAGTTCTCTAGAGAAAGGAACTCGAACGCACGATCCGACCAACAACGCTTAGGCTCGTGCGGAGAAGTTGCAGCTAATCTGGCAATGTTGTTCTCGGGAGCCTCCCGGAGCTGCTGGCTGCCGAGACAGGCCCCTCCCCTTCCGTGCGAAACGTTCACTTCCTCGTAAGGTGGTACAAATCAAACCAGAGCCGCTAGCACCGCTCGTGAAAACTGCACTTGCGTTGGGGAAAGGATAAAAACAGCAGCGATTTACGAAAGGATTTAAAACATCTTTAAGGATCCGGCGCGACTGCATGTGTGAGCTCCATATAAAGACAAAACCAAACCAAACAAAATATTGCTAGTGTCTTTCTGGTCTTCATGAAATGCATGAAATGCATTTTACAGCCTTATAGCTTTTATAACCCTATATAACAAAACAGACTGGTAAATCCATGGACTCGCTTCCCTCCTCAATATCTGTGGCATTAAATAATGTGCCTTATATTTACTTTTGGCCAAAACATTTACCCACTCTTCTTATCTCTAGGGCAGTGCTTTTAAATCAGCCTCTGCAATGCTCAGTACTGCTCCAAGATAATATATGCCTGGTCAAAATATTAAAATATTTTTCAAGACCTGCCAATCTTTGCTTAATGTGGCTGGGTGTTGATAGAAATCAAGGCTCCTGCAGTCCTATACTCCTACCTGGGAGTAAGTCCCACTGAACCCAATGGACCAAGCCTCTCAATAGACAATTATAAGATTGCAGTGATGATGGCATCCAAAGTGTTTATTTAAAATTTAAAAAGGAGCATAATGCCACCTGCACCATAATGTCAGAAATCCTATTCCTTAATTGCATAGTAGCAATCATTGATTTTTTTCCTTTAAAAATCAATTCATATTTTACACAAAACTACAGCTTCAAGTGATTTCCTTAGCCTTCTGGCATATAACTTTTACTATTTTTTAAAGAATAAGCCTCATTTCTCTTTCTTATCTTAATATTTGATCCAAACCGATTCAGCAATATTTTTCATATGCAGCTTTTTCTTACCAACAAACCTGAGCTTTAAAATAGAAATAAAAAGCTTTAAGAAACCCTAAAATGTGGGTAGGGGCGCGCACACAGCATGAGGGGAAGTGGGCACTTGCTGTGTGAGCCCCCTCACCTGCTCCCATATGCACGAAACATCAGCTAAGTTTTTCGGAACTTGAACTGTGAAGCACATGCTTTTGACACAGTGCTGTAGCCAATAGAGCTTTACTATAACATATCCTTGTACTTTTATCTTCCTCGATTTTTTTTAATCTTTAAGACTTTCGTCGTGATCGTTATTCTTGAAAAAGCAACAGAAACAAACAAAAGAAATGTAAAATTAAACAAAGCAATTAAAAAGATTGACAGGCATGGGTTTGTATGAGACCTATTTGTAATTGTCAGGGTGACGTTGGCAAGAGGAGGAGGAGTAAAAAAAAATCTGAAGCAGGAAAAGCAGCTCGATGTGTCTGTCTATCAGTTGAGACTGTCTGAAAGCTCTGGGATCTGAATGTGTGCTATATTTCAGTGAAAAGAGAAGAGAGGGAGAGTGGCTCTCTTTCTCTCCCAGGAGTTTAAACCGGGGGGGGGGGGGACAGTTCACGTTAATTGCTCCCACCCTGTGAATGTCTCTGCTTCTCCCCCACCCCCACCTTTCACACACTCTCTCCGGGGGTTGCCTGGTTTGGGGGCTTTTGTTTGTTTTTGCAGTTGCAGATCAAGATCAACTATAAAATAATAATCCACGTTAAAAACGTGTTTGCGTTATACTAGTATCAGAAGAAGCTGCGATCTTTGGAAGGAAAAAAAAAGCGAGAGAGGGGGAAGCAAGGCAGAAAAGTAGTCCTCTCCGGTGATGCCACTGTTTGATCTGTGACTCTTTGGAAGGTGGAGGAGGAGTGACTGACAATTCCCATCCGGTGCTATCTGTATGTATGGGGGTTTTTACTCCTTTTTACTCTTTGCTTTCTTGCTCAGACTAAGTGATGGGAGGAGAAGGAAAGACTGGATCGACCTCGTTTTCTGCACAATGAAAAAGCTATTATCAGCGCAGTAAAAAACCACCATCTCCAAAATCCACGAGCTTTTTTTTTTTAAAAACAAGCCAGCAAGCGAGAAAGTTGCGCTTTGAGACTCTTTGATCTTGGAGAAAGGCTTGCCGCGAGGGGGGGGGGGAGAGTGTCTGAATCCATCGTCTCATCGTGTGCTGCTCGCGCTATTCTCTGCCAAGACGAAGAGGCAGAAGAAGTAATTAAGGAAAGGTGGAAGGAGCAGAAAAAGAAGGCATAGGGAAAGCAAGCAAACCAGTCGGATCAAGTGAACGGATTTGGGCTGCACGTTGCCGGAGCGAGCCAACCTCTTAATCTGGTCCATCTTCTCCCGCTTGCATCTCCAGCAGACGGACCGAGGCGTGAGAGCGAGCGAGCGAGCGAGCGCGAGCTTTGTTTTGTCTATCGAAGTAACTTTTTTCCAAGAGTGGAGGAGGAAAGCGAGAAGGGCGTGTGTGTGTGTGCGTGCGCGTGTCTTTCCCTCTCGCTCGTTCGCTCTCTTTCTCTCGGTGCGTGTCCCTCGGAGGGGGGTATCGGAAGGTCAGAAATCAACGCTGTAAATGAAAACATTGCCTCAGCGAGTTTTTGGAGTGGCGGCGGCGGCGGCGGCTGTTGGCATCACCGTGCCCGCTCGGGGGGCCGCCGCATTCCTCCACCGCCACCATCACCTGCCCCCCCAGTTACAAGGAGCTGATCCGGGAGAAGGACGCCAAGCAAGCCGCCAGCGCCGAAAAGCGGATCCGCGCAAACTTTTTGCCCCTTCCCTCCTCCCCCTCCCCCCTTCCCCGCTGCTTTATTCCTCCGCGGAATCAGAAGTTGAAGAAGCCGTTTGCTCCCCGGTCCTTCTCCCCCACCATCCCCTCCTGCCCCCCCTTTATTAGTGTTGTGTGTGTGTGTGTGTTTGTTTCTGCATGAAAAGAGTGGGGATTGGAAGAGTCCTGTGCGGAAACTCTCCAGCGGCAGCAGAGGGAGGAGGAGGAGGTGGTGGTGGAGGAGGAGGAGGAGGAGGAGGAGGGCGGCTGAAGAGACGGCGGCAACACCAGCATGCCGAGGAGAAAGCAGCAAGCTCCCCGGCGCTCTGCAGGTAACCCCCCGCCTCCTCCCCTCCTTCCCACAGCCCCTCGCTCGCGCTCACT